GGTCACAGCCCTGCGGCAGGGACCAAGAGCAATCCCTCAGCTGGGCACAGCGTTTCCGCCTAATATCTCGCTGCAAAGTTCACCATGCTATCAACTTGGGGCTTCAGGGAATATTTAACTTTGCTTTGATGAGAATTTTATCTAATTGTTAATTTTATTCTAGGAAAAAAACATAAACATCTGAGCAAAGGCGACACACACAGGCATGAGCACAGAACACGCCTGCAGGGCTGACGGTCCCTCTGTGAGCAGGGCCAGGTCCACAGGGCTCCACAGGCCGCAGAGGAGTTCGGCAGCTTTCTAGGGAGGGAAGAATCACTCCCAGGAAAGACTGAAAGCCTCAGAAAATGTTGGGTGTGGAGAAACGTCGGAAATGCGAGCTTCACTCAAATGGTGTCTGTGGTAGATGCCATTAAGGATCGTGTGAGCTCAATCTCATCATTATCTGTTTGAACTTTCTTTTAAGAGTTTCATTTTTGCCTGATGGACAAGCTAGGCAGAAAGCTGTAGCTAACTTCCTGTGAATTATTTTGCTACCCTCTGTTGAAAACTTCACCAAGTTCCCACAAACATAAACACAATGCCTGCTCTATCACTTTCGATTTTACTTTATTATTATACATATTTCTCCTTGCGATGTGAATGCAAATTACCTAAAATTAAATGTAGTAAAATAAATTTTAGCTGTGTATTCTCTGATTACTATCCCACATGCTTCATTTGCCCCATTTTCTTCTTATTTAACTTACTAGGTATTTTTAAGTCTTCATTCATTAATGCAAAATGTCTATTTTATTATTAGCTCTGAAAAATGAGCAGAGAGAGAATGATTTTCTAGCCGGTGAGCAGCCTCCACGTGTGGACTGCTAGTAGTCGCTGCTACCCTCCCCCGAATCAAAGGCAGCTGACTTCGCCAGGAATGGGAATTCTCTTTCAACTCTGCGTCTGGTTTTCCTTTCCCGCACTCACTTGTTTGGGCGGTGACAGAGTTCACTTGGGCCTTGACACCATGGTGAGCAGGTCTTGTACGCAGGGTGAGCCTCGGGAGGGGCCAGGACGGTGGGGTGTGGCAGGCCGCGATGGGAACAGCTGGGCGGGGAGGCGCCGGGATCCAGCCCTGAGCTGACCTGTCTGTAACCAGGCAGGGCGATTCCCAGGCGCAGCAGGGCGCAGCAGGGCGCAGCTCATTCCGCAACAGCACCCGCACGCTGCCTTCCGGGTCTCGAAGCTTCGGCCCTGCCGAGGGCCCGGTGCGCCCAGGCCCTCACGCACCTGCGCCCTGTGCTGCCGCGCCTGCTTTGCTGCGAAGGATTTTCTCATTCATGCGGTTGAAAAATGAAGGCAAATGAAGCACCCAACCTCGGCACACATCACACACCAGCTTGGGGAGAGGCGGGATTCGACAGGGAGTGCTTAGAGGTTTTAAAAGGTGCACAAAAATTTAAAATGATAGATTGTTATTTTAAGAATGTTTTTATTATTTTTCCATTTGTGTATCTGGTACAGGGTCTCACTACACAGCTTGGACTCTCGTGATTCTCCTGTTTTCAGCCTCCCTGGCACTGGGATTACAGGAGCGCACCACTACGCCTGGGCTCAGTCGCTGGCTCAGCGTGCCCTGGGACGGGGCCAGCCTGGCATCAAACCCTGTCCCTGCACTTGCCAAACCAGGCACTTTAGTCCACTGAACCATCTCGCTGGCCCTTCAAGTTTTTAGAGATGTTACCATGGTAAGAACACTTGCCAAGAGACCGCCTCTCTTTACTTTACGTATTTTAGGAGCACAATGATTTATTTTTATATGAATACTATGTTACGTAGCAGGTCTCCTAGCTCTTTCATCTTGCACAACAGCAGCTTCATGCCTACTAATTCAGTAACTCTGCAACTTCCCTTTCCCCAGCCACTGGCATCTATCAGTCCACTCTGGTTCTCTGGAGGTGCCTATGTTAGATTCCTCATGCAAGTGGAAACGTGCAATGTTTGCTTTTTTGAATGGTTTGATGTTAACTCAGTGTAATATCTTCAAGCTACACCCATGCTGTCACACACTATGGAATTCCCTACTTTTTCAAGGCTGTATAGTATTTCATTATGTGGTCATTTTTATCTTCTTTATCTTCTTCCCTGTCAATGGACATATATGCTCTTTCCATCTCTGGACCATTTTGAATAATTCTGCAGTCGGTGTAAAAGTAGCCTTAAATATCATAAATTAATTTTGGGGGGACAGGGGCTGGAGAGATGGCTCAGTGGTCTGAAGCACCTACTTGGAACAGGCTTAGCAAAGCATCAGGGACCGCGGTTCGATCCCCCAGCACCACATGCCAGCCAGCCCC